ATTATTTGAAAAATTATATATACTCCAAACAAGATGTAAAACATTCATCCCCCCTCCCCCCAGAAATTTCCCTTCAGCCCCTTTCCAGTCCACCTGCTTGGGAACTATCGTTTCTATCATCATAGATCAATCTGGCCTATATTTGAATTTCATATAAATGGAACCACACAGTATATACTCAAGTATGTATTGCTTCTCTAACTTAATATAGTGTTTTGGACAAAAATATCCAGCTGTTGCATCTATCATGTGTTTATTTTTCTTTATCTTCTAGTATCATTCCATTCCATAGATGCATGACAATTTGTTAATCCTCTTTCCTGCTGATGGATACTTGTTTTATTCCCCCAGTTCTAAGTGATTTTTAATGAGGTTGGTATAAACTTACTTTACAATATTTTGGTCAACATACTGTTTCATTTCTTTGGTATAAATATTTAGGAATGTAATTTCTGGGTTGTAGGGTAGATATATGTTTCAGTTTTTAACAATGATTCTCAGAATACGGTATATGGATCTCTGGGAACCTTAAGACCGAGCGTAGGGGGGTTCCAAAGGTCAAAACCATTTTTGTGATAGTACTAACCAGACATTTACCTTTTTCACTGTGTTGACGTTTACAGTAACGATGCAAAAGTAATGTTGGGTAAAAAATGAATGAAGCCTTACAAGCAGTTGTGGTATGACTGTATTATACTCTCCACCACACACCTTCAGTACACCAGTTTTAATTAAGAATGTCCTTGATGAATCAGTAAAAATTATTAATTTTATTAAAATTGACGCTTGAGTACTCATCTTTTCAATAGCCTGCAAAAAGCTCTTCTGCTACATACTGATGTATGATAGTTGTCTCAAGGAAATGCGTTTGTGCAGTTGTTTTGAGTTACAAGGTGAACTAGCTGCTTTTCTTTATGGAGCACCAATTTTTTTATTGACAAACTGATTATTCAGGCTTGTATATTTGGCAGATACTTTCCTGTAAATGAACAAGATAAACCTGTCATTTCAAGGACAATAACTGACTCTATTTGTTGTTAATGATAAAATTTTAACTTTGAAGCAAAAAATTAGAATTTCAGAAAACATGTATTAGCTACCATGAGCTTAACAGCTTTTCAGTATTTCTGATGAGTTTGGTGGTGATATTACCAAATGTGATATCAAAAGACTGTATAATAAAATTAGTCATCATTTGGAAGATCCACATAACTCAGAGAACCAGTGTTTTCCAAATGGTCATTCATTGCCTGGTGTTAAAAATCATGCATGAGGGGCTTCCCTGGCGGTGCAGTGGTTGAGAGTCCGCCTGCCAATGCCGGGGACGCGGGTTCGTGCCCCGGTCCGGGAAGATCCCACATGCCGCGGAGTGGCTGCGCCTGTGAGCCATGGCCACTGAGCCTGCGTGTCTGGAGCCTGTGCTCCGCAACGGGAGAGGCCACAACAGTGAGAGGCCCACGTACCGCAAAAAAAAAAAAAAAAAAAAAATCATGCATGAGGTAAATTCAATTAATAATATAAGATGGACCAATAGATTTTAATGTAATTGAGTACACAAAATTTAATTGATATTGTTCGATTCCACACTGCAACTCACTTTCAGGAATACTACTACCACTAAGTGTTCATTTAGTATCTACAAAAATATCCATAATTATCTGAAAAAGGCTATTAAAATAGTCCTTTCCTTCCCAATGTCTTTCTCTGTAAGACAAGATTGTCTTCATATACTTCATCCTAAACTGTATTAAGAGAGCAAATGCAGAGAAGGAGATACAAATCCAGCTATCTTCTATTACGCCAGATTTTAGAGATTTACAATAATGTGAAACAATGCCAGTCTTGCTAATTCTTTTTGTTTTGACAAATGTCATTTCTCATTAAAATATGATATTTTAAATGAATTAATAAGGAAATATTTTCTCAGTTTTAATTTCTAGCATGGTAAATATTGATAGATAATACCATATAAACAAAATCTCCTTGGGCTTCTTAAGAGTTAAGAGAGTAAAGGGGTCCTGACTAAAAAGTTTGAGAACCACTGTTTTATAAAAAACTACCAAATGAGTCTTCAATGTGATTGTATCATTTTATATTCTTACCAGCATTGTATAAGCATTTCACCTTCTCCAACATTTGCTCTTTTTAATTAAAAAATTTAACCATTCTATTGGTGTGAAGTCATATCTTATTGTAGTTTCAGTTTGCTTTTCTCTGTAGCATCTTTTAATACCTGGTGGCCATTTCTGTATCTTTTGTGATTTGTATGCTTGAGTTTTGGCCTGTTGTTTTATTGGATTATTCATCATATTATTGTTTAGTAGAGCTTTTGTCTATTTTGAATACATTTTTTCCATTAGATATATCCTATAAATGTCTTTTTCCTACCCTGTAACTTATCTACTCATTTCCTTAGTGGTATCTTTTGATGAGGAAAAATTTTTAATTTGATTAAGTCTAATTTATATATATATGTATTTTTTAATGGTTTCTGTGTGTCTACTCAGAATTTGCAAATGTATTCTTTATTTTTTCTAAAAGCTTTATTGTTCTGGGTTTTATCTTTAGATTTGTGATCCATATCGAGTTAATTTTGGTGTATGGAGTAAGAGATCGAGTTATTTTTTTCTTAAAGCTATCCAATCATTCTAACAATAGATTAAAAAGAAACCTTTTCTCACTGAATGGATGGCAATTTCTGTTGACTACCCCATTCTTTACTTTTATATGCATCTACTTTATATGAATGCCACATGGTCTTGATTACTGTAGCCTTATAGCAAGTCTTGAAATCAGATAGCCTAAGTCCTTTAAATATGTTCCTTTTTAAAAGACTGTTTGGTTATTCAATATTCTTTGCATTTCCAAATTAATTTTCAAAGTCTTATTTAGCTCATCAAGTTATTGGATTATATTTGCAAATATTTTGTGAGGATTTTGTGTCTATAGTCATGAGGGATGTTTTCATTTCTTATAAGATATTTTTATTGGTTTGTTTTATGAACAAGGCTATACTGACCTCATAAAATGAACAGGAACTTTTCTTCCTTTATTTTCTGAGTTTCTGTAGTATTAGTGTTATGGATTTGACTGTTTCTTCTTCTTCTCTTAACTCTAAAAGTATTTTGATTTATGAGTTTGGGACCTCTGTTTTTAGATACGTACACATTATTATGTTTCTTTGGTAAATTGATTCTTCTATCATTATTTCTATTAATACTCTGTTTTCAGTCTACTGTGTCTGGAAGTAATATAAAAACACCAGTTTTCTTTTGCTTAGTGTTTGCGTGGTATATATTTTTTCATTTCATCTGAAAATTTGAATCTATCTGTGTCCTCATAATAAAAGTGTGCTTCCTATAAAGATCTAATATTTGGATTTTACATTTTTATCCAGTGTAGCAATCTATGCCTTTTACATGAGTGTTTTTTTTTAAATTTTATTGGAGTATAGTTGAATTACAATGTTGTGTTAGTTTCAGGTGTACAGCAAAGTGATTCAGTTATACATATACATATATTCATTCTTTTTCAGATTCTCTTCTCATATAGGGTATCACAGAATATTTAGTAGAGTTCCCTGTGCTATACAGTACATCCTTGTTGGTTATCTATCTTATATGTAGTAGTGTGTGTATGTTAATCCCAGCCTCATGATTTATCCCTCCCCCCCAAGTTTCCCCTTTGGTAACCATAAGTTTGTTTTCAATATTTGTAAGTCTGTTTCTGTTGTGTAAATAAGTTCATTTGTATCATTTTTAAAATTAGATTCCACATATGAGTGATATCATATGATATTTGTCTCTGTCTGACTTACTTCACTTACTATGATAATCTCCAGGTCCATCCATGTTGCTGCAAATTGAATTATTTCATTCCTTTTTATGGCTGAGTAATATTCCATCATATATATGTACCACATCTTCTTTATCCATTCCTCTGCTAATGGACATTTAGGTTGCTTCCTTGTCTTAGCTATTGTAAATAGTGCTGCAGTGAACATTGGGGTGCATGTATCTTTTCAAATTATAGTTTTCTCCAGATATATGCACAGGAGTGGGATTGCTGGGTCATATGGTAGTTCTATTTTTAGTTTTTTTTTTTTTTTTTTTTTTAGTTTTAGTTTTTTAAGGAACCTCCATACTATTCTCCATAGTGGTTGTACCAATTTACATTCCCACCAGCAATGTAGGAGGGTTCCCTTTTCTCCACACCCTCGCCAGCATTAATTGTTTGTAGACTTTTTGATGATATGGCCATGGAGTGTTTTAATTATTTTCATTTAATCTAATCATTGATAAGTTGGATTTAAACATTATATCTTTTAATATTATTCCTTTAATTTTTTTCTTTCTTGTTTTTATCTTTCAACTGTTTTTATGACTTTTTAGTGATATATATAGTATTTTATTTTTTCTTCTGTATTTATTTTTTTTAATTAATTTTTATTGGAGTATACTTGCTTTACAATGTTGTTAGTTTCTGCTATACAATGAAGTGAATCAGCTATACATATACATATATCCCCCTTTTTTGGATTTCCTTCCCATTTAGGTCACCACAGAGCACTGAGAAGAGATCCCTCTGCTATACAGGAGGTTCTCAGTAGTTATCTATTTTATACATAGTATCAATAGTGTATATATGTCAATCCCAATCTCCCAATTCATCCCACTCCCCCACTTTCCCCCTTGGTATCCATACGTTTGTTCTCTCCGTCTGTTTCTACTTTGCAAATAAGATCATCTATACCATTTTCCTAGATTCCACATATATGCATTAATATACGATATTTGTTTTTCTATTTCTGGCTTACTTCACTCTGTATGACAGTCTCTAGGTCCATCCACATCTCTGCAAATGACCCAATTTTGTTCCGTTTAATGGCTGAGTAATATTCCACTGTATATATGTACCACATCTTCTTTATCCATTCCTCTGTTTTAGGTTGTTTCCATGTCTTGGCTATCATAAATAGTAAAAGTAGTATTGTAAATAGTAAAAATATGGAGCACTTCACAAATTTGCATGTCATCCTTGTGCAGGGGCCATGCTAATCTTCTCTGTATCATTCCAATTTTCCTACTGAAGCAAGCACTGTATTGATTTTTAATATTTGTTTTAGTAGTTTCTCTAGAGCTTATAATATTCATCTTTAAGTTATCACAGTCAGCTCTTAAGTGTGTGATTCAAAACCAGTGTTAAAATTTTATAACATAGCATAAATCCATTTGTTTGCTCTTGCCTTTTGTGCTCTTATTATCTTCTGTTTTATCAGTACATATGCCAATAAATAAATGCTATTAAGTTGGCCAAAAAATTCATTTGGGTTTTTCCGTAAGATGAAAAACCTGAATAAACTTTTTGGCCAACCCAATAGTTTTGCTTTAAACAATCAATAGCATTTTAAACAAATTCAATAAAATATATAAATATGCAAACGTAAATAAGAATTACTCATTTTACATTTAACCTAGGTATTCATATTTTCTGTTACTCTTCATTTCTTTCCAGAGGTCTGAGGTTCCTTCTGGTATTAATTATTTTCAACCTGAAAAACGTCTTTCTGCCTTTTTTGTAGTGAGAGTGCTGAAGATCGTTTTTCACCTTTTGTCTGAGCATGTCTTTTTTTTTCTTTCTTGTTTAAAGTTAATTTTTATAGTATATGGAGTTGTAGGTTGACAGTCCCACTTTTTTTCCCCACTCTCAACATTTTACTTACAGATACTGTTTTATGTCTTCTTGTTTTCCTTTTAGTATAGTGCTCCCAAATGTGTCTCTTTTCTTTGGCTTCTTTTAAAATTTTTTTCATATGTTTGTTTTTCTAGCATTTTGACTGCTAATAGGCTTAGGTGTGGTTTTCTCTCTATTTAACCTGTCTGGGGTTCACTGAGATTTGTGGATCTGTGGGTTGATAGTTTTCATCAGTTTTGAAAAATTCTTGGTCATCTTTTCTTTAAATGTTTCTTTTGCCCATTTTCTCTCTCCTCTTCTGAAAATATAATTATGTGTAGATTTCAGCTTTTGATATTGCCTCACAGGTTTTGGTAATTATATTCTTAAAAAACTTTTTTTACTCTATTTTTATTTGTGTTTAAATTTGGATAATTTCTGTTCACCTGTCGTATGATTCACTGATCTTTTCACCTGCTATGGCCAGTCTGCCATTAATCCAAATTTAATGAATTTCTCATTTCTGATTTTTTTTTTAATTTCTAAAATTTCTAGTTGGTTCTCTTTTATAGTTTAATTTTCTGTATTTATATTTGTCTTCTATTCAGATGTTGTTCATCTTTTTTGCTAGGTATTTTGGCAATTTTAACATAATTTAAATTCTTGTTTGATAATTCCAGTATCTTGGACCATTTCTGAGTTTGCTTTTATTGTGTTTTAATTTGTTTTACAGTCTTTTTAATTGAGGAACTTTATTTTACCCCCCCCCAAATTCCTATCTTTCATTATTTTTCTTTAGGGGGCCATAATTATCCCTATATTAGTATTTCTACATCTGTCCTCCATATCACTTAACTTTACTTTTATATTTTATATTTTCTCATAATTTTCTCTTCTTCTGAAGAATTTCTATTCTTATTCTTCCAGTTTTCGAAATTGTTTCTTAGCTATGTCTGTCCTACTATTTATTCTATGTACTCCAATCTTAATTCAATAGTTATGTTTTTCATACCACAGGCTAGGTCTGCCTTAACCGCTTTTGGGGGTTAGAGGTGGATATTGCCCAAATTAGAGATATCCAGGAACCAGAAAACTTAAAATTTACTTCTCAGTCCATGAAAAATCCCTTCTCTCAGCACCTCAGTCTGGGAACAAGCACAGTTAAGAAGAGATGCTTAGATTGAAATTAACCAGCCATAGAGGCTTAGAGGGAAAGGAGTGAGGAAATAACTGCCCCAGTTAGTTTCAACCCATCCTCAGTTTTCAGCTCTTTACAAGTGTGAAACTTCTGACAGCATATACCTAAATTTTGTATCTCTTTTTTTATCTGTTAATATTTTTCTTTTAATGGAAGAATTTAGTCTACTTCTATCTCTTGAAAATATTGGCATATTTTGACCTATTTCTAATAATTTATTTCAGTTTGTCCCACTTCCCTGATTTTGTCTCTGGGCACATCTATACTAGAGATTTGAGTCATGGTAGGTGTAAGGATAGATACTGTTTGTTCTAAAGCAATGGTAGGGAAAAATCAAGAACTGAGCTCCAACCGTTTCTTTATTCTGTTATCCTTCTACATCCAAACTGAGTTCTTCTTGCCCCAGGTTAAACCCTCATCCCATATACATCATTGCAAAGTAGCCTCCTTTCATTCTAGGGATTTTCACAATTTTCTGTGCTTTCTTTCGATAATCTCTCCTGGACTGATCTTGAAGAAAAGAGTCAGCAGTTATGAGTTCAGCAGCATGGTAGGATCTGGAGCCAGACCCTAGTGTATTTTGATGAATAATCTTATCATAACCACTTGTCTTCTGGAATTCCTTTCCAAACTGAAGACCTTGGCAAGTTACTGTTCAGTCTGATGGAGGACCTTACGTTTCATCCATCCAGTAGGTTATTTTATTAGCCATGATCTGGAAAATAAATGGATCATCATTGAAACCAGCAGCTTCTATGAAAAATGAATTTCAGTGAATGATGATCAGTCTTAACATAGGATTTCTGATCAAGCAAACCTAGTGAAATTCCTAGTGAATTCTCCTAGAATTCTACTTAGAAAGATTTCTTTTAATGAAAGAAAAAATAGAAAGAACAGGTAAGAAGTGTAGAGGAGCTTGGAGATTCCAATGTATGTATTAGAGAAGAAGAAAATTGAGGTAAATTTGGAAAAGTAACATTGAAGAGATAATAACAAAGAACTTTCCAGAAGTAAAGTCAAACATCCTAAGATTAAAAGTGAACTTCACTTTGGGATTGACATATATACACTAATATGTATAAAATGGATAACTAATAAGAACCTGCTGTATAAAAAAGTAAATTAAATAAAATCCAAAAATTAAAAAAAAATGAAAGCAATAGGTTATCCAGAAATACACAGAGCATGAATATGTATGTATTTCTAATTTAGTATGAATAAAGTTATATCTATTAAAAAAAAAGTGAACTTCAAATCCTAAAGAGTTGAGACTAAAAATAAATCCTTTTCAGCAATTTGTAGTGAAACTTTAGAACATCAGGGAAAGAGGAGATCATATTCAAAACTACCAGAGAGAAAATACACATTACCTGTAGGGGAATTAAATTTTCTATTAGTATAAGCAATTTCTCTGGAAAATATAGACATTGAATTTGCTGGGAGGGAATATCTACTAAGTTTTCATAAGTGTCTTGGAGTATAGCTATCATTATTATCAAAGTCTCTGGAATAATATCAAAGTTTCCACTTCAGATTCTAATGTTATCACTTCCTAGATCCTGAGACCTTGAACAAATTATTCACCATTTTAAGTATTTCTTTCCTCTTTGGAAAAACGACCAAACCTAAGATGCCCATCTCAGAGTTGCTGTGAAATTTACTAGATAATGCATACAAAGTACTTAGCACAGCAAGTGTCACCTGGGAAGCATTAAAATGTCACCACAGATGCAGAGAATAAGGTTTGGAAACCCCAACAGTTTGGGCATTTTAACCAAGCACAAAGAGCTGCCTAAGCCTTCTAGAATCTTAGCTCCACAAAGCAGGAAATTTTTTCAGTTTTATTTGTTATGGTTCCCCACCCCACCAAGAACAGTGCCTGGGATATAGTAGACATCAGGTAAATGTCTGGTAAGTGAATGAATAAACAAATTCTTCATGTGAAATTGAAGCTGTAATGAAGAAAATAGAGAATACTAGAAATGAAGAGTACTTATTCCAACATATGCAGTCACCTTTACCAAACCAAACTTGGGTCCTCTCACCCACGTGCAATGAAGCCAATCTACTGACACCGGCTTGTGGTGAAGGAAAGTACAGAGTTTACTGCGGGGCATCAAGCAAGGAGAATGGGCAGCTCATGCTGAAAAGACTGAAACTCCCTGAGGGCTTTCAGGGAAGGGGTTTTAAAGGCAAGGTGAGGGAGCAGGCTGCAGTGTGTGTGATCAAGTCGTGCACAGTTCTTGGATGGGTTGGCATCAAGGTGAAGTTTCAAGCATCATCACCCTTCTGGTTTCAGCCAGTCTAGGATCTATGTTTTGTAGTCAGCAGTTTTCATTTGGTGGAGGTCTGCTTCCTGTGAAAACAACTTAGGAATGTGTCAGGCCTTTATATCTTTTAGGGAACTGGGAGTTCGGTAATTCTGCTCTGCAGCTGGTTTATAGTCTAAATTGTTACCAGTTTCCCGGCCCAACAAGTATTCTTAGTTTCTACATCCTCACATTTCCTAATCATTAACTCTTGATCCAGCCTTTAGAGACCAAAGGGAGGCCTGGGAAACTAAAGCAAAAGCCTTTTACTTCAAAGGACAGGGACACAGGGGCTTGTATATGTTTCAGTCCCCCCTTTTCTTTGATACTCCTCAATCTTGAGGGGAACAGGTTCAAGAAAAGAAAGGGAGTAAAGTTTAAGATAGAGAAGTTATTCATAAACTCAGCAGAGGAACTCAGTTTTAGGGGGACCTTGGTTTCCTCACCATTATCATTCAATGGATTAGACAAATGGGGAGAAGCAAGGAGCTAGATAACTACAGTGACAAGGCAGCAGAGGAGGACTAGAACCCAAGTCTTTTTGATCTTGGCTGATTACCCTTTACCACAGAAGGCAAATAAGTATCATACAATAGCTTTGCAACAGTCTCTGAATTCCAGGCTCAGTCCTATCCCTTGTTAGAATTAGGAATTCTTTACATCTTTTAAAAAGATGTGTCAGTCTGATTTTAAAGCTCCTACTCCAAATAGCTTCGCTCTACTCTTAGTCTTTGTAGGAGAGACAAAAATGTTTTAAAATGAAACCAACGTACAGTGTTGGTGATGGATATGAAAAAGTCTAAGATAATTTGATTCCCAATTGCTAAATTAGAGAGAGTGGATTTACCGGTTTTTTTGGAAGCTGACTACATTAAACACAATTAAGCCTGTTCATCATGTGTTTTCTTACAGAAAAATGAAAA